TTTTTGTGCACCGGGCCTCTAGTATAAATATAATTTCAGAAAGGAAGGAAGAGATAGAAACATCAATGATGAGAGAGAATCATTGATCAGCTGCCCCCCTGCACATATGACATTAGATTTGTGTCTCAGGAAGACTGTTTGCTTAGTAGCAGAGGAGGGATTAGGTGCTTGGGCAGGGAGGCGGTGATGACTAGAAGCCAAAGAACTGATTGGTAGAATAGTCAGACCAAGGGATGTTGAAGGTCTGAATTTAAGCAATAGCAATGTGATGGAAAGAAAACATCATTTGGGAGAAGAGATTGAGCAGGAAGAATTGACAGCATTGTGACTGATGTTAGGTACCACAACCCTGGGTTTTCTTTTATTGTCTTCCAAGCTTTTTGAGTTTCTTGGCTATCATCACGTCTTCAGCCAGGTTAATTTCTCCAGACGCTATACATTTAACTCACAAGAGTTAGCCCTCCCATACTTCTTGGGTAGGTAATTGCCATGACTGATAAACTTTGGCTTCACCACCACCTAACAGTAATTTCCCGAGTTTAAATTCTTTAATGTAAGGCTCCTCAACTTATAAAGTGAACTTTTTTAGTAAACTTTAAAAAATCTGTTTTAAAAGGGTATCATCTGTGTTACAGATTTTTGGGAAGGTGGTCAGTGTAATAATAATTAACCGCAGGTTGTAGCAGACTGCTCATTTCAAATCTCAGCTCTTTTCACTTATTGGCAGTGTGTGTGACCTTGGGCAAGATACCTGACCTCCGCATCCTATTCTGCATGGAAAATGGGTTAGAAAAGGGTTTGTAAGGATGAAGTGAATGAATATATGCAACGTGCTTAGAAGAATGTTTGCATATAATAAGTGCTATATAAGCATGAGATTCTGCTGTTATTATTTATTCCTGATATGCAGATTTTTTTGTGTGGTGACTTCATGAAGTATTATGTTCAAATGTGGACTTAAAAACATTTAGCTATGTGAAGTCAAAAAGTCAGTTCAGCTATGGAGTGTTTTAGTGTTTCAATGCTTTGCTTTTGCCATAACTTCCTCTCAGGGTGAAAAACTGAAGTTCTTTTACATCCTAGGTCTGTTTTTAATCAAGTACGTCAGTCTCCTAACTGACTTCGTTTGTATATTTCTCCTTGAACACCCCATCTGGTCACTTTTTCAGTTGTGATTTTTCTGTAAAGCTCTGGAATAAATCCATTTGGCAAAGTGAGGAGTGTCAGGAATGCCGAGGTCCTGTGTTCAGCCTTAAACTCCAGGGTGCAGGGCACGTGCTCTGAGGAGGACGTGCCCGTCGAGCGCGCGAAAGGTGATTGGGTGTGGAAAGGTCAAGCGAAAAATTCTGGATGATAGATGACTCATCATCTTGGTCCATATGGCTGTGGAGAGGCATCCTGCAAATGGTGGGTGGAAATGAGCCCAGTGGATGCAAGCCAGGGGAACAGCGAGGGGGTTGGCTGGATGATGGGGTTGGTGAATGCTCTGTGGTTTGGTCAGCTGTGTCCTTGCTAAAAAAAGCTCAGCACCACCTCGCCTTCACAGTGTACTTTCCAGTTGGGTAAGAAACATTCTTTTATGCATTAATAGGTGTATATATGTGTGGGTTTCCCCCCTGCTTTTTTCCTATAATTTCCCTGGAAGGTAAAAGTGTGAGAGCAGTATTTAAAAAATAGTTTTCTTTAATTTTTAAGAAAAATATTCTACCAGAGGGATGTAATGCACAAGATTTCTAAATTTGTTATAAAACCCAGTGTTTTTTAGTTTCATAGAAAAGGTATTTCCTGCTTACTAAGGTGAAATAGTAACTAGGGAATAATAACCAGCTCCTTAAAACAAATACAAATTCTTTACTTTTTAAAAGAGGGCTGGCAATAAGGTGGGCCAGTAGTGAGGTTTGTTGGTATTAGGCACTTTTCATTTCTAAACTTGAATGCCATCCTATGCATTTAAACAATAGTCCTGCCCTAACTGGTTTGGCTCAGTGGATAGAGAGTTGGCCTGTGGACTGAAGGGTCTCAGGTTTGATTCCAGTCAAGGGCATGTACCTTGGTTGTGGGCACATCCCCAGTAGGGAGTGTGCAGGAGGCAGTTGACCGATGTTTCTTTCTCATCGATGTTTCTGACTCTCTATCCCTCTCCCTTCCTCTCTGTAAAAAATCAATAAAATATATTAAAAAAAATAAAAATAAAAAAAATAAACA